AGAGAGACGATTGGGTACATTCTCTCTCTCTGAGTGGCTTCCAAATTAATCCGCCAAAGATTCAAGAGTATTTTGCGATTGGATATGGAAAGCTAGATTTACCCAAATGTTGGAACCTGATGGACAGACTTGGCGTTCACCATAGACTCCTCTTCCTTGTGGTACATATTCCTGGTCTGCCAGTGTTTGGCCATGGTTAGCTTCCTGTTTTCCTCTTTCCCGTTTGGTCTAGTGGTGAAGGTACCAGGCTTGAACCAGGAAACGGTGAATTCTAATTTCACCATAGGCACGGAAGCCGGGTGGGGGACTTTGGGCTAGTCATTCTCTCTCAGCCCAACTCACCTCACAAGATTGTTGTGGGGAAAATAGGAGGAGGAAGGAATATTAGGTATGTTCGTCACCTTGAGTTATTTATAAAAATAAGAAAGGCGGGATAAAAAAATCTTTAAAAAAATTGATTCTGAGAAAGCTGCCTGAGAAAGAACCATAACCAAGCTGAGCCGTGCCCTGAATTGCCCCCACCTATTTTCTAGACGATTCTTTTTAGAGACTAAAGCATATTTTTCTTCCAAAGATTGTATAATGACTCTGATAATTTTCTGTAGCATTTACTACTCTGAGCTAAATTCATTTGTTCTGAATATATAGTGTCTGTTGTATAGAAGGAGTATCGTAGCATTGTTTTTCATATTGAGAACCATCCTGGTTATATAGGCAACAGTTCATTGGAATGTAATGGCATATAAGAGTTTCTCAACCTCAGCAACTTCAAGATCTGTGAACTTCAACCCCCAAAATCCCCCAGCAAGCATGCTGGCTGAGGAATTCTGGGAGTTGAAGTCCATACTTCTTAAAAGTTGATAATGTTGAGAAACACTGGCATATAAGGACTAGCTTCTTCCGTGTAATAAGGGGAAGAATTAAGTGATGAGGACTTTGGAGTTGTTTGTTTTGCACTTTCAATATAAGTTTCTTTGTCATTTGAATTCATGCAATGTAGTCATCTGGAACACAATATGCAGCAAATATTGTAACATTGATCCTTTTCATCCAGCAGGCCTGGGTGCACGGTGCCACATTTATGCTACTTCACTGAGGCTGTAAACTGAAATGCGTTTCAAAGCATGAATAGCCCATCTTAAAAATGCTTTGGGAGAAAAGCCTAAGATTCTGTTAGGTAGGTCTATCAGTTTAGAACTGAAGGTTAACCTATTCACTAACAGGAATAGAATATTTGTACGGTCTAAGTAGCATAAGAGCCAGTCTGGTGTAGTGATTAAGGCACCAGGCTACAAACCTGGAGACTGTGAATTCTAGTCCTGCCTTAGGCACAAAGCCAGCTGGGTGACCTTGGGCCAGTCACTCCCTCTCTGCCCTAGGAAGCAGGCAATGGCAAACCACGTCTGAAATCTTGCTAAGAGAACTGCAGGGACCCATCCAGGCAGTCACCAGGAGTCAACCCTGACTCAAGGGCGCACACACACAAGCAGCATCCGTTGAAATTGCATAATATATCAGTTCCAGAAGCCCAAGAGAGTATTGTATAAAATTTGGCTTGTTTTTGTACCCAACAAGATAGTTGTGCTAGTTTATGCAGCAATCAAAACTATGAAGATGTATAGCATTTTATCGATTCCAGTATTGCTTTTGCATGAGTGGGGTAAGGAGCCGGGGGGAAGCAGGGATTGCTGATCTAGTGAAAATACAGCAGCATTGCAAAAGCTCAGGCAGTTCCCTGAAAAATATTGTTTCCAACTTAGAAAATTATTTGTATTCCTGTAGATGCTATTATGACCAGCGTTCAAAACATTTGAACTTCCAATCACCTATCTGGAAAATGCGAATCTTAGGGAAAACTGATGTAAATTATGGTTGCGTTAACCATGAGTTAACACATGCAAACATAACCCATGTCATTAAAAAAAATCACCTCTTAATGGTTGCATGTCAGGTTTTTATTAAAGACAGAAGAATAGGGCTGGCAGGTGGTGGTGGAAGGTGGAAACCCTGGACAGGGATTAATTATAGCTAAATGGTGTCCTGATGGAAAGTTATATGTGCCAGGATGAAGTCAACAAAACATTCCCTGAAATGAGTTAGGTTTTCCATGAAGTGTATTATCTGAGCATATAATACTTCTCTGAAACGTACAGTGCAATAGCTTAACAGTAGATGGGTTCACCACCATAATTAACTTGGGTATCAGATTTACCTATTTTCAGGGTTGACATTATACATTGAATCATTTAACTGGCTGGGTTCATACAACACACTAAAAATGAGTTAAAACTAAGCTATCCAAACTTAACATGCAGTGTAAGTACAGCTGCTAGATATTTAGCTGACCACGTTAAGTATGTTCTCCCAAAGCAGTTAATGTAATACTAAAATAAGTCCTGTAGAATTTGACATTTTTTAATCCCAGTTAAGGGAGTATAGAATTGCAGCCTGAGAGAGGGTGAAATGATCAATAACCAGCACTTTGAGCAAGCAGATGGCTTTTTAACAGCTTTTATTTATAGAGTAAAAGTAGGTTGGATTAAAAAAAGTGGGCACAGATTTCAAATGTACTTTGAGAGAGAATTTATGTCTGTTCTGATCTAGCTGCCTGTAATATTCCTGTGTCAACAATAGGAAAACTTGATTTTCCTCCTCTACATTTCATCAGGAATGCCTTCTGTTGCCCAGAAAGGTATCTCTTTGAAAGAGACTTGAAGGTATTTGAGGAACATTGATGCCTATCTTTAAAAAAAAGAAGAAAAAAAATCCAGTCACAAAAATTGCTTCATGACAGCACAAGGAAGAGCTCTGTTAGCATGGAGAGAGAGTGGTTCCTTCTATAATTTTAAGGCCTCATAATTTCTGATGGATAATTACTCTTCTGGAATGAATGTATGTTTTTTGGCATAGGCATCTATTGGAAAGAAACACATCATTTGTACCTAAATAAATATTTTGTTCACTGTATATTGATTGTCTTTGATGTTGACTGCCAGAGATGGGATGAAAAAGGTGAGATGCCAAGGATATCTTACACACGTTGATACTTTGCGTAGATGAACTTGGGTTGTGAGTGAAGCTTCTTTCTCATATGGACAGTCTGAACTTGAATTCAAGAGGGCTTCTGCGCAGAAGTACAGGAGCTTGCATCTCCTACCTTTGATCCACAAATAGGAAATCATGGAGTAGCTTCATTCCAAACCAGAGTGCTTCTCAACTGGATTAATGGAAATTGGGGGAAGGGGAGCCACCTAGCACCACCACTAGAGATTACAAACTCTTGGGGTTTCTCGGCAAGGCAGTGTTGGGTGCTTGAAAAAACCCTGCAACATTGGTGAGTAAATGGAAGGGGTACTAGAGAGTATAGTATCTTACCCAGATTGAATAGCATACATGGATGGTAGGCAAGGATGAAAAATAAGAATGCAACGTATGGAATTCTCTCCACCCGATCTTACATAAGATCCAACAGCAGACCCAAAGCCACCTGTCCTTTTAAAGGCAAGTGAAGCTGTGTGGTGAGGTTGAGAACTGCAGAGGGCTACAGAACCACCGAAAGGGATCCTTTTCAGCTGCCTTTCTTTCCTGACCTGACTTGCCCTACAAAGCTGCGCCATGTCCCATGGGGGAAATCTGCAGGTAAATTAGTATACCCAAACTTAGTTTCTGCCAGGCGCATTGGATGGTGCAGGTTGATGCCATTTCTGTCATCCTTTGGCAATATGATGCAATGGGAATTGAAATCAGGGATGGGGGGGTTTAAAGTCAAAACAGTGGCTGTGACTGTGGAACTCCACCCTTTTTTGCATTGGACAATCATGGCCCCCTTTTGACTTCTTGGCCACCATCTGCAGGTGCCCCTGTTCCTGAATTCACTCTATCTCTCTGTACAAAATGTTGAATGATATATTGCATGGCTGAGTTCACATCGCACGTTAGGTCACAAAAAAGCCAACCAAGGTTAAAATTACCCAATGGCAAGAATGTAATTTGCCCTAAAGTAATCATCTTCCCAAAACATTCAGGAAGTTGATAGATATTCAGTTGTAAAGTTCTCTATAGTGACACTACTACAGTTTTTCCTTCCCCTCTCTGGCTCTGTTCACTCAATGTCTTCAACCTGGTTACGGAATTAACCCATTTTCTGAATCCACAAATATATTGAACATTAACTAGTTAGTCAAAGTTTATACAATTTGCCAAGCTGAAAAAAAATCTAGTCAAGTTGAAGATGTCATGCAAACCCAGCCATTAGAGTTGTAATTGACCTGACTGAGTGTGATTTGTGAACCCACTTGTGAACATGATGCATGGGTTTAACTGCCAGGAGTCTGGACAGATTATCAAAGGAAGGTTAAGGTCACATGCCTTACGTGTAAAAAGGTCCTAGGATCAAGTCCCAGCATCTGCAGATAGATCTGGAAAATATATCTGGTGTCAGTCTGGGAAATAGTGGAAGTAAATCCAGAGACCTGGACTAGTGCTCTGGATCAGTACAAGATAGGATTCTAGGAAGTCCACACACAGCAGGGTTTCTCAACCTTGGCAGTTTTTAGAGGTGTGGACCAACTCCCAGTATTCCCCAGCCAGCACGCTTGCTGGGGAAATATGTGGGGTTGTCCCCACCTCTTAAAAATGCCAAGGGTTAGAAAACCCGCTTGGTGTGGA